CTGAATTAGAAAAAGGTAATCTGCACAGAATCTAAATGCTTCCCCATGCTGATTAATTTTTTTTACTCCGTCCTTCTAGTGCAGTAGACTAAATGTGGGCCTTGAGGGAAAGACAGTTAAGGTGCTGGACTAAATAGTAGGTGACAGTACAAATACTTGGATTCTCTTTTTCCTTGTCACAGGCTTCCTGCTTGACAGGCCTCTGCATGGCTTTGGCTTCCTGTCTCTTAATTTGGCATATGTGGGTGGTTAGGATGAAACTCTTAGTGTTTGTGGGATGGAAAGATATATATAAGGAGGCAAGTGGAAATAGGAAGAAGCATGATATTGGTGTCAGGTAAATACCTAGATAATGTCAACTACACATCTAAGTAGAGCTGCCTTCTATTTGGACTGAAAATCATATGGGCTAAATCTAATTAGCACAACTGCCTTTGATGTAATGAATGGCATTTTATACCAGAACCATTTCCTGCTGCTTTGGAAGTATTGCTGGTGGTCTTTCCTTTTGTTGCTGGTTATGCCTTTGGGTAACTGCAGATACTTGAATTGTGTCCTATCTCAAGCGTGTAGCCTTCAGACTTTACAGTAGATTACACATGATGCCACTGGGGGACACTCTCTTAATCCTAGTCATTTATTCAGATACTTAGATTAATTATTACTGAGATCTCTATGCTTGAGTAGAGTCTGTTTATCTGAATTACAAATGCCTGTGGAAATGAGCTAAAGAACAGAACTCTCTTTCTGTATTGACTATATATACTTACAGAGTGGACTGTGTAGGACTAGAGTACCAGTAAATATCACTGCCCAATCTTTAAATGATTTGCCAAGGTGAATAGGTTGTCTGCTTAAAAGCAGCTTAATGGATATGCTTTCAAAATGGTGCAAACATACATATCTCGTGAATTTTAAAATGCAGCCTAATGGATCCATTTGTGTAATATTGTATCTATTTTTTTTCCATTTAAAAAGTGTGAAGGAGGGGAAAAGGGAAGGAGGAAGAAGAGATCTTCTACTGGCTCTGTTCATTTAGTATTTCCTGAGAGCTAAGATAAAGCCTAAGCTGCAACTAAAGTTCTGGAGAATTAGTGGCCTGTTAATGTCTTATGTGGCAAGTATGGCTAGTCCTTGTCTCTGAAAGATGCGACTCAAATCAGCAAGTCATCAGAAAGAGAAAGGGAGTGGTGGGAGAACAAGAATGTGTAATTTAATGAGGTTAAAAATAGCCTGTTCCCACCTTTATTTTTTGTGTGGGGAGAGAGAGCTGTCTTAAGTCTCCAGGGAAGTGAAGAATTTGGGCCAGGAACCAAGACACAGGCTTTCTTTTAGTTGTGTAATTTGCTTTCTGTTACAGTGCAGGTTAGCTGTTCTGTGCCTTTGGTTCCTCTGTCAAATCAAAGTGAGGGCAATAATGATCTAAGAACTTAATGATTTTGTAGATTAAATGCAGACGATATTTGAAGTGATCTGACCTCTTTTGAAAATAGTATTTCTATTGTGCTTTTATTTTAAATGCCATATTGTTTAGCATCTCTTCTGACAACAAACTAGAGTGTCATAAGCTCCTCATTGTCCTGAGACTAAATAAATGGAGGAAAAACTAACCTTATAAGATGACACTATGAACTTTGGATTTTTTTTATCTGTTGTTGTGACAGCTGTCTTTAGTTACCAGTGGGGCAGAAGAGTTTGAAGTTTGTACAACTGTTGTGATTCCCAAAGTCTTCTGGTAATTCCTTCACTGGTTGTCTCCATTGACAGCAGTAGATGATGCTTTAAAAAGCAGGACTGGGTGGAGGAATAATCCTGCAACTAATAGTGCCTGGACTTAAATGTGGTTCCTAGCTTTGCTGGAGACATGAACAGGTCACTTGCTATGTCTAAATCTATTTTCTCCGTCTCTAAAAGGGAATAACAATATTTCTTGCCCATCTTGTCCAAAAATAATTCAGATTCTTTAGGAAAAGGATTGTCTTATCCTGTGCATGTGCCATTGCCCAGAACAGGAGGATCTTGTTATCATTTGGAGTTGTGGATGTTTTTAAGTCATGAGAACAAACTGAAAAATATAAAATAGATTAATATTGTTTGTTCTTTTCCAACCCATTATTGCTTCCTTAAAATCTTTCACAGAGTGACTAATGCTCTTAATGGAGCATTCTTTTTGGAGCATTAAAGCATTCTTTTTTTTGTATGTGAGATTGGTTGTACCAGCCTAGTGGAGTTTGCTCAACATTATCCCTAAGATGCTGGTTTTTTTTTTTTGCTTAAAATTTAGAATATTTCAGTTTTTGGTCTGTAAGTTCAAGACAGATGCAAGCATCAGACAAGCTTTTTCTTCTTCCACCCCCTTGTTCTCTGAAAAACGCAGTCAAAACACTTCAGTTGCTTCTGAGAATGGAAACTGAGAGAATGCCAATGGTTTAAAAATTATATATGAAAATTGTGGCAACCTTTTGTGACAACAGCTCTTCATTTGGATTGGAGTGTGAAGTTTGGCAAGGGGATTGAATTTGTTTCAGGAGTGTGAGTAAAGGAAATGAGTGGGACTCAGAAGAAAAGGTTGCTAAAAGGTTGAAGGTGACACTACTACAGAAGTGTGGGGTTTTATTTTGTGGCAAAATGTGGGATTTCTATCTTCTTAATATTTAATTCTAGAAAATTACTTGTAAGCAACTACATCAGAAGTATACACAAACAATATCATGCAGAGTATTGCAACTTTAGAAAGTTTTGGTCTTAAGAGTTCTTAATTTCATAAACATCTCTGATATATCTCACTGGTTTTTATCACATCTTTTGGAAAAAGCTAAATAATAATTTCTGCTTCTATATTAAAACAAATGTCTAATGTTTTTGTAGTTCATAACTTTATATTGCATTTTTCTTCAGGTCACTGAACTTCAGCTTTATATTTTTAATCAGATCTCTTCTTGATTTGTCTATGGGACAGAAATCAGTTCTTTTAAATTTAACTCTGCTTTCTGGAATATGTCAGCTTTTTCTTATTTCAGATTGGCCACCCAAAATGAGAGCATCAACCTGTTTCTCAGCCTGCTATCTGTAAAATGGGGATGCTGCTGCTAGCTCCCTGTGTAGCGTTAGCACAGAAAGAAATACTGTTTTTGAAGCAGTGTGATGCTTTAATAATGAACATACCAGAGAATCCATGTTTAGTAACAGTAAATATCTTTTAAAACAGTTTGAACTGTTTGAAACAGGCAGGCCTCCAGCCATGAACTAAGCAATGAAGAAAGCAAATATTTAACAGCCTCTCATTAGTTGTCTGCCATCTATTCTTTTGCCCTAAATGAACAGGAAAAATAAGCTAAGTAATTAGCATGATGTGTATAAAATTTAGTTGTATTTTTCTGTACTGCAAAATCAACATTCAGTAATACTACTTCAATATATTTTTTTATGTACCTCTCTAAAGTGATTAAAATCCCGAAGATACTCAATATCAATTATATTGTTTCTTAACCTGAATTACAGATATATTGTTTTGTTTAATGTTAAAGGTTTTTCTTCCTCAATGTAATTCTAGGTAACAGTGCATTTAAGTCACCCGATGAATTCAAAGTCTCCCTTCCTCTTCGCACAAACTACTTGTATGGGAAGGTCAAGAAGACTCTGCCAGAGCTGTATGCTTTTACCGTATGCTTGTGGTTGAGATCGAGTGCTTCTCCTGGAATTGGCACTCCATTCTCATATGCTGTTCCTGGGCAGGCTAATGAAATTGTCCTCATAGAATGGGGGAATAATCCAATTGAACTTCTAATTAATGATAAGGTGAGAGTCGGCTAACTGTTCTTTATTGTCTATATTAACAGAATAAGGCCCGAACCCTTGGTACGTCGCTAGTAACTCTTTCATTCTACCTGAGAGAAGCCAGCTTTGGGGCTTTGAGATGGTAGTGTCTACTTGTCTGTTGTTGTCCATCTGTCCATTGCAAGTTCATAAAAGTTCTCTAAACAAGGTCAAAGGGTACATATATTTGTGTGTTGAGACAATGCAGCATGACATCTAGGTGTGCACATACTTACGCTTCTCCTCTGAATGTACTAGCAGATCTTGGCTTCTTGTTTGTTTTATGAAACCGAAGCAGTATTTGAAGCCACACTATTGCAAAACCTGTGAGATCTAGGCCAGTTGCAGTATTTCTGTCTTTCTAATCCTAGAAGTTCAGATATGTTAAAATGAATTTGGCAGAAGACAGAGAGCAAAAAGCATGTAATTGTGGCTGGTTTTGTTATGTTTAAGTGACTGAACATCAGTTTAAATACAATTTTTTTGGACTGTAGATACAAAAAGCAACAATTGTCTCACACTACTTCATACCACTGATGGTTTCTGACAAGCTTCAGAATGAGGCTTGAGGAAAACAAGACCTGTTGAAACTTGGCATTAAACCAGATTATGAATACTTCCTTTCTCCCCACCTTCAGTTTAGGCTAGCTATGAAATGTAAATAGCTGATGGTAGCTAAGTGACTTGATTTGAATCAATGTGAGCAAAACTAGATTCTTAACTTGGCCAGGCTGCAATGTAGCATAACTTGCCTTCAGGCACCATCCCTTGTTTTCTTTGGCCTGTTAGGTTTCCTAGTAACTTGCTGCTCTCTGAGGGATCAGATGTTTACAGATCTACAACGCAACTCAGGTGGTTCAGTCATGTGGCTAGTTAAGGACTCTTAGAAGTCCTATCATCCTCCCAAATAAATAAAAGTGAAAAGCCGATTATTTTTAATGGTTTGTGGAAGAGAAGGAAACTTGAGTCTGCTTATCCTTAGCAATAACTTTTTCTCTTCAATGTTATGTCAGGACTACTAAAGTTCTGTGAAGCTTTTCTTTCTCCCGCATCACAGCTGTTCCATAGCCTGCTGCATTTGTGTCTTTATGTTGACTTGAGTAAGTTTTCAGATCAAATTCGTGAAGGAGCGTAATTCCTCCTTATTTGGAGCCCTACGTAACAGTTCCCACAAGTTTTACTGGAAACAGGCAGATCCATTTGTCAGAGTTGTTACTGCAAATGGTGCAGGCAAACCCCAGATTTTAAGAGAAACTTAACGTGAGTGCTGGATGGAAGGTTAGGCCTAAGCACTGAGATTTACACAACAAATGCCACACATTAATGTGCAGGATTAGTGGACTGATAGCAGCTTAGTCTCTGGTACTTGTGTCACTTGATTCTAGATGAAACAAAGGCTCACATCTAGAATAAAAAGCATGGATGTATTCCTGAATATAGGAGAGCTGGGACAAAGTAGAAAGATGTGGACTAACTTCTGCCTCTGAAGTTTTTTGCTTCTGAGGACAGAGTAAATACTGTCCCTTTTTAAATGTTGTGCTTGAACTGGTAGACTTGGTTTGCAACAGGTGTTATTTTTTGGTTTTTGTAGGTCGCCCAGCTCCCTCTCTTCATTAGTGATGGAAAATGGCATCATGTCTGTATAACATGGACAACCAGAGATGGAATGTGGGAGGCTTTTCAGGATGGAGAGAAGCTTGGCACTGGGGAGAATCTTGCTCCTTGGCACCCAATTAAACCTGGAGGTGTCTTGATCCTGGGTCAGGAACAGGTGAGTAAATGACAGGGTTTAAAAAAAAATAAAATCAAAACTCCCAAAACAAACAGCACTTGTGAGAAAATTTCTTTGTTAAACACTTGGTCCTGTTGTACACACAGTGTCAGAAAGATTAAAACAAAGCAACAAATACTTAATGCAATCACACATATTTTGTTTCATTTATTAAATATTTAGAATATTCATGTTGCAGCTATTCCTATTCCCACTCTTAATGCTACAGTGTGCAACTTTGTCAGTGATCCGAATAATGCCTTAATTTAAATCCTTTGAGCTAGATTGCTGGTAACTAGCAATGTGGCCACTGAACAGAAAAGGACAGAATTGGCCAGCACTGTTGTATGAGCAGTCAAAAAGGAGCTTGCTGAAAGCAGAGCAAGTATAATTGCTTTGATTTGTTTTAATTTTTTTTTAATTGAAGCCAAATTGACTGTTCCCCTTAGCAGTTTACTGGTTTTTCCCCCTTCCTTTCCTCTTTATCCCAAGAATAATAAGAATGTTAGTCCTTGAACCCTGGAATAGACCAAGGAAAGTGTGTGTATGGGGGTGAGGGGACCAACAACTATGAACACTGGAGTGCTTGTGGGTATATCAGGATCTTTTATAATTTGGCCTGCTATGGAGAACTCCCTGCAGACTGAATTCTGCAGCTTTTCAGGTATGTAACACATTTTTAGAATAGTGGAGTCTGTCACTCATTCAGAATCTGGTGTCTATTTTAAAGATGAGTCTGAAGTCAAAGGGATGAACTCTAAATCAGACATTTGGTTTCTCATTAAAGATGTGGGTACATAACTCTTAATGCAAATGCTAATAAAATTTGAATATTAGTACTGCCAACAGAAAGCATTCATGAGGTTAAGGATAAGTCCTTTCTGAATATTGAAGAAAAAAAAAAAAGGGTTTTGAATCTTGCTCTTCTAGTTAACATCTCATTAAGCTATTGCCTATGAATTGTGTGGCTCTCATCTTCGCATTTTTTCTCTACCTGTTCTTTGTATGATTATACACATACAAAAAAAAATATTGTAATGAGTAGCAGGAAATAGCCTTTCTCCAGGATTCCCAGGTTCACAATGGGGCAATGAAAAATTAGTTTTGTCCTGATACTGATTTTAGTAGATACTTATCCATGAAAAAAATGACAGAATGGTAAATTCGGAATCCTAATACATTCTGCATAGCAGATGCTCCAGCTCACTATTAAGTGGCTGGCAGCTTTTCTGTAACTCTCTCATGCCATTTGCCTGTACTATGCTTGGTTCTATCCTATGCTATCAGTTTCACGTTAGTCTGATCACATAAAATGTGTGATTTCTGTCCCTGAGTAGTGGATGGAGCAAGCAAACACTTTTAGGCTTATGCAGTAGCAGTTTGAGTTAGTCATTTGGTACAACCAGAAGAAGCCTATGTGTTTAGTTCCAAAGATTGCATCTTATAGACCCTGCAGACAATTGGTCAAGGGCTGCAGTTACTGTTTACTCCAAAAGCTTTATGGCTATAGATTAATCTTACACATCTATGCAGTTCTTGCTGAAGTTGTCCTGTGCCAAACTTGTAAAATGGCTCCTAAATTAGCCTCAGTATTTAAGGCTGCCTTCCTGCTCTACTGCTTGGGGCCAGGGTTAGTTATGTATAGCCTTTGTGTGATGGTATACAGTCACTACTGTTTGCTTTGAATTGTTTTGACACATTTCAGATTGGAGCTTTTAAGTGTTCTGTAGAACATCTTGTTCAAAGTTGCCCTTCTAGAAACTCAAAGTTGTTTGTCTCTGTGACCTAGCTCTGCGCTTCCTTCTAGCAGTGTGGCTGGGGGGAGGGTCTTCAAGTTTGAAGAAGAAAATGCTGAAATAACCTTCTCATCTAATCCTAACTCTTGTGTGCCTGAAGGACACGGTAGGAGGAAGATTTGATGCAACTCAAGCCTTCGTTGGGGAGATGAGCCAGTTCAACATATGGGACAGGGTCTTAAAAGCTGAAGACATCATGAATATTGCTAACTGCTCTACCAACATGCCTGGCAACATCATACCCTGGGTTGATAACAACGTTGATGTGTTTGGAGGTGCTACTAAATGGCCTGTGGAGACATGTGAAGAGCGT